AACCCGCGCTCCCTCCCCTCTTTCCGACCGACCGAACCCACCTCCCGTCCATCCTCACCCGCCTCACTTCCGTACGCACGCGCGCCACTAACTCTCCCTCAGATCTCTCTCCCCCCCCTCCACCCCCCACCCCCACCTCTCATCCTCCCCCCCCTCCCTCCCTCCCTCCCTCCCTCCCTCCCTCCCTTCCTGACTTGCATACCTACAGGTCATGGGCATTGGGCTATGCAACCTCCTGACGACGATTGTCGTTGAATTCCAAAAGGTGATGAGAGGAAAAGCAGTAGAGAAAGTGAGAGCAGCTGGGGATCGAACGACCATTGTCTGCATGGTGGCAAAGGTTGCATGCATGGAGCAGGTGGAGGGGAAGGAGAAACAAAAGGAGAGGAGGGATATAGAGGATGTTTGTAGGGACCTGTGACTGGAACCTTCCCAGGTGTTGGAGGAGGATGCAGAGATGAGAGAAATCTCGAAGCGCGAGTTGATGTCGCGCGTGAGGACGAAAGTGAGGAGGATGATGATGAACGTGAGGCTCTTCAACTCCTTCCGAAAGAAGTTCAACGAGCTCATGGAGACAGCACCGTAAGCATCTCATCTCCCTCCCCCCCCCCTCCCCCCCCCGCCCACTCCTCCTCCTGCTTTCCCCCTCTTGTTTCCTCTCCGCGCCATCATGTTGATAATGGCACGTGCTCATCCTTCTTACACTCATCATCATCATCATCATCATCATCACAAGTGTCGTCCCCGGCTCTCCCTCATTCTGTCCTTCTCCCTCCTCTTCGTTCCCTTGTTTTCAGCGCTGTCTTTGGTGTCTTCCTCGTCCTTCAACCCTCCCCCCGCAGCTGATGCCGGTGCAGTCACACAGGTGAACGCGAAGTTATGATCGGCAGGAGCCTCGGGAACTGGAGGAGCCGCTTGTCGGGCAGTAAAGAAAAGAAGCATTAGGATAGCTGGGGGCGAGGAGAGGAAAGAGGAGGGGAGCGACGAACGGGAGGGGGACAGGATGAAGGGGGGAAGAGTTTGGAAAGGTTAGGAAGCAGGATAGGAAGAAAGGATGCCAACTGAATAACAGTGAGGGCAATTCAATGCCGAACAACATCAGGACGTATTTACCTTCACCTTCTGCCTTCTTCAACCCCCCCCCCCCCCTACTCCCCCCTGCCTCCTCCTTCCTCCTCTTGGACTTGGTCCTCCCCCTCCACCAACCCCTTTACAGCCGTCTCATCATACACTGCCTTCCCCGCCCATGTGCCTTCCCTAGTGAACATGCTTCAAGATGCCCTGCACATCGTCAGCGACATGGCGCGGGTGGAGGTGGCTCGACCTGTCGGATCAGATGCTGGACCTCCGCTCGTCGAAGGTGATGAGTGGAGTTGCGAGTGAGGTTGACTGTCCCGTCCATCGTGACGAACTCACCTGACCCGAGGTTGAGAAGAGAGCAGAGCAGAGCATGGCATCGCATAGCATAGCATGGCAAAGGGGAAGGAAGGGGAGAGGAGGGAAGCGATGAGGGGATGCCCAGGAACAGAATAGGACAGAACGCAGGTAGACAGACAAACAGGCAGGAGACAATTCATCACGACCTTACTCTCGAAAACATCCTTTCTACAAATGTTATCACCACCACCACCACCACCATTACCATCATCATCATCATCAGCAGCAGCAGCAGCAGCAGCAGCAGCATGAAAGCAAAAGCCCGAAAGCTCATACCGTAATCTTCAAGGACTCGGACGGTGATCATGGTGGAACTAGGAGGCTCAAGGTCGAGCGTGAGGTTGTGACCTGCAAGGAGGCAACATCGTCGTCATCGTCGTCGTCGTCATCATGATCATCATCGTCATCGTCATCTTCTTCAACATCATCATCATCATCATATCCTGCTCCTGCTCCTGCTCCTGCTCCTGCTCCTGCTCCTGCCCTTGCCCCTGCTCATCCTCATCCATCTCCTTATATTCTTCCATCTTGAAGTGGATCTCACCAAGAGAGGTCATGTAAGAGGTGAGCATAGTGTCGTACTGCTGCGCGAGCGCGATTTCGTTCTGGTGCAGTCGATCCTGCGATCGATGAGCGAGGAGGAGGAACGAAGTCCGTAGAGGAGGAGGGGAGGGGATGGAGGAGAAGAACAAAAACAGGAGCAGAACGAGCAGAACAAGAGGCAGGAACAGGAACGCGGACATGAATGGCAAGGGTCAAGGAGGAGGGGGGGAGAGATCAGGGCTCGGAGTTACCTGAAGGTATGCAGGGATCTCACAAGCGCCACTCTCCCACCTGTGGGAGGTAGAAAAGCATCAGAGACGTTAGACCAGCTTCATGGGAACAGACCTCAGCTTCAAGATCTGTTCAGCTCTGTACTTGAGATAAGCTATCGCGCATTGCTTGTTCCTCTCGATGCAGTTGTGTCTTAAGGACAGATTTCAGTCAGAAGACAGCAGTCTTCTCTCCTCTGCATACTGTGCATAAAGTTGCATTAAATCCTCTGGCGACCGCTCTGCCGGGTTTTCTCTAGAAGCCGTCGTCAATGACAACCTCAGTCTCCGCTCCAACCCTCTCACGGGATGTTCTTGTAGGTGGAGACGATGTCTTCATACAGTTCCTTCACCTCCTTCTGCACTTGTCGCAGAGAAGCATCCTACCACGCATGTGAGACGAGAGGAGGAGCGTTTGAGCAGCTCAGACGTCATAGGCTGGGATCCACGTGTCTCGTTTCAACCCGCGAATCAGCTCGACGGCGGTCTCGCACGGCATGGAACCTCAAGGCTGGACGGAAGCAATGCTCCTTCCTCTCTCGCCTTGAAGCGAATCTGCGATTCATGTCATGGCGACGCCTTTTGCGCAGTGCGGCATCATAGCATCGAAACCTGCTTCTCCCTCATTCGCCCCTCCCTCACACCCTCAAGTTTCATCGCAACATTTCCAATCCCTCCTGACTACTTACACGTTATCTTTCTCTGTCTTCACATGGGATCCCATTCGAAATTTGCAGTCCTCTGCTCATATCAAACTCCTCTCGACTTGAGCATCAACTCCTGCCTTCCTTCCACTTCCATCTTCACGATCCTACCATACCTTGTTCTCACCTTGTTCTCACTGTATTCGGGCCTCCTTGGCCTCCGTTCTTCCATACTCATCCAGTGTTCCTCCCTCCAACCATCAACCCCCGAACTATCCACACTGCCCCCCTCTCCCCCTCCTCCTGCCATTCGTTCCCCATCCCGCCATCTTCCATTTCAGGGGCTCTTGAGCGGGAAGTGAATCGTTACAGAAAACGTTACATAAAAGAGGAAAACAATTATAACCCACTCTGAGGCCAGCTCTGAGCAGGCTCTGAGGCGAAGTTATTACTGGCAAGCTGGCTGGGAAAAAACCATGTTGAAGGTTCTCAGGCAGCATGGCAGGGGCTGGCGCTCAGAGGCAAGGAAGAGAGGACGACTGCGGCGAGGTTGATTGAACATCATCAGACAAACACAAACAAGAACAAGCACAAGCCGAAGAGCGATTGAAGGCTGATGGAGGGAGGAAGCGACAGGATGGGCACGGCAGATGCGCTGGGGGGGGCAGCGGCGGGGGCAGCGGCGGGGGCAGGGGCGGGGGCAGCTATAGCTGGCCGGAACGAGAGGGAGAGGGAGAGGGAGAGGGAGAGGGAGAGGGAGAGGGAGAGGTGGGTACAGGAGGACGAGGCGCAGGGCGAAGGGGCCGCGGCAGGCGTAGGAGGGCGTCTAGAGGAGCTGGGCGACACCAAAGGACAGCTGATCAACACGTGCAGGCGGCTCTCGCTCCCGGAGCCATCCTTCTTGACCAGACGGGTCGGAGGGCCCGACCATGCGCCGTCGTGGAGGTGCACAGTGACGACAGGGGGCAGAAGCTACGAAAGCTCGGAGCACACGACGGCAAAGGCGGCGGAGAGAGACGCGAGCCGGAGAGCGATATGGGGGCTGATGGAGGGAGGCAGCGGCAGGACGGGCACGGGAGATGCGCTGGGGGGCAGCGGCGGGGCAGCGGCGGGGCAGCGGCGGGGCAGCTATAGCTGGCCGGGACGAGAGGGAGAGGGAGACGGAGACGGAGGCGGATAGGGAGACGGAGACGGAGGCGGAGAGGGAGAGGGAGAGGGAGAGAGAGAGATGGCAGCAGCATCTGCTACAGCAGGATGCGCAGGGCGCAGGGGCCGCGGCGGGCGTAGGAGGGCGTCTAGAGGAGCTGGGCGACACCAAAGGACAGCTGATCAACACGTGCAGGCGGCTCTCGCTCCCGGAGCCATCCTTCTTGACCAGACGGGTCGGAGGGCCCGACCATGCGCCGTCGTGGAGGTGCACAGTGACGACAGGGGGCAGAAGGTACGAAAGCTCGGAGCACACGACGGCAAAGGCGGCGGAGAGAGACGCGAGCCGGAGAGCGATATGGGGGCTGATGGAGGGAGGCAGCGGCAGGACGGGCACGGGAGATGCGCTGGGGGGGGCAGCGGCGGGGGCAGCGGCGGGGGCAGCGGCGGGGGCAGCTATAGCTGGCCGGGACGAGAGGGAGAGGGAGAGGGAGAGAGGGAGGGGGAGGTGGGTGGAGCAGGAGGAGGAGGAAGAGGAGGAGGAGGCGGATCTAGGAGGTTACTCAAGGCTTTTGTGAATGCTATGGATACACTCAGTTTTCATTTTTATTTTGTATGTCTAAATTCTCAAATCTGTTTTCAAATCATACCTCTGCACAGCGGGATATTCAATAGAAGTGCGCTGCGAATTTACTCGTGTCGGAGGGCTCGACAACATCAAAGGTCATCAGATCAGCATGTGCAAGTTGCTCTCGCTTTCCGAGCCATCCTTCTCCACCAGACGGGTCGGAGGGCCCGACCACATGCCGACGTTCTGCTGCACGGTGACGGCAGGGGGCAGAAGCTTCCGAGCGAGGCTCGACGCAGACGACGACTCGGTGACGAGGGCGGCGGAGAGAGACGCGAGCCAGAGGGCGATAGAGGGGTTGCCAGGGCCACCGCCGGGGGTGGGTGGGGCGGGCGTGAGGGAGAGTATTAGACTGCGGCACTAGCTTGTTTGGAGTCACTGAGTGTATATCGTTTTTCTAGACAGTCCTGAATTTCTCAAATCATTGTTTGTACCTTTACGGCCAGTTTGGTCGTTGTTCCTCTGCTGAATGAAACCTGTCTCAAACCATGTACTCAAAGTTAAGTCAACTTCGGAATCACTCAGTGACGAGGTCACGTGACGGCGAGAAGAGAAAAGACAGTGCCAACCATCCCTTATTTTGCCCACTGCTGTCCCACCAACTTAACTGATACCTTCACTTACACGGTTACGGACGGTTACGGACGTTTGCGCGCGCCAAGTCCACTTGCAGTGACAACTTGGAATCAGTGATCCCACAGGTCATCTTGTTTTGTTTTCCTTGGGGGGTGTATTATCAACTATAATTCAAAACTTTCCAATACTCAAGATTCTAAATTTAAAGCAAAGATTGAAAGCTGTTTTGTATGAAAGACCAAAGACAGGAAAGTTTCTGCTGATTTTCAAATATCCAAGCGCAATGCTAGCAACTTTCATGTATTCAACTCTCACACGTTGATTTCAAATGTTGTGTGTAAGTTTCGAGTCAACTATGAATGAAGAACCCCCAAGTCTAGTTCATTTAGGGCACTGGAGCTGAGACGAGGAGAGAGCGGCAAAGGAAGAGGCGGGAGAGGGAGGGAGAGGGAGGGAGAGGGAGGGAGAGGGAGAGGGAGAGGGAGAGAGAGGGAGATGGAGAGAGAGGAAGGGAGAGGGAGGGATAGGGCAGGAGGGCGGGAGAGGGAGGGAGAGGGAGGGAGAGGGGGAGGGAGGAGCAAGACTGACAGGGACTATCTTTGTGCCATCTCTACCTTCTACTTGTGACTCTTTCTCTCTTGACCTAGGTCGGCATGCAGGATTATCTTCACAAGCGGTTTTCTGCTCTCGTCGAGCCTTTCTTCAACGCCCATGGATGGACAAGCAGCGTCGGCGCTGGCCCTGAGCCCCTGGTGGTCAGGTTAACAAGAGGAGTCCAGGACAAGTACATCCGCCTCGTGAGCATCATCGACCTGGAGGAGGTTGGAGGAGGACGACAAGGAGGAGGAGGAGGAGGAGGAGATCCGCTGCTGCAGCGTCTCTTGTGCTTCCAAGACGACTTGTGGCCCGACGATCAGCTCTACCTTGAGTTGAAGACGTCAGAGACGTGGAGAGATCGATCGAGGGAGGACGTCATCCATGGCCGAGCCAGAAATGTGGTTGCGGCAATTCCGAGAGCTATCGAGAAGAGAGAATCAAGTTTGTCAGCCACGTCTGATGCAGCGATCTTGTTTGACGGAGCACAAGCTTCACAGCAACTGATGCAGATGATACGTGCCGTGCTAGACGACAATCGAGAGAGACTCTTGAAGCGAAACAGGTGAGCCAGAGCCTTACTACAGCTCTTGATCGATGAGGTGAAAATTGTGTTTGTGCAGCGCGCTGTCAAGTCAGACGGGCTATCCCTACCAGAGCTCTGGGAGTTTCTACGAGTCAGAGATGGTCTTCTTGGAGCATGCTCGCGTGTTCGGCTTATGCATGGGGCTGAGTGAGTACGACGGGGAGTTTCAACCGCTTGCTGCGGCTGAGAAGGATGCGATGAAATTACATCAAACCCTTTGCTCGTTTAAAAATTGCCATTCTGCTTTATGCTCGAATCCAAGAACCCTTGAAGATATGAAGGGGTTCCTGAGGTCAAACCTAACAAGCTTAGAGGAAGCTTGTCCAGAGCAGGTGTTGTTTTTCTTCGCGGGTCATGCAATCTTTGAACCCACCTGCAAGGATCAGCTTCTGGTTCCGACTGCGCTTGAGGCAGTGAGAAGCTTGTCTTCAACGCAGTTGCTCGAAAGCATGCTTTCGATCACAGAGCTCTTCAGACAATTCAGAGACTTTGAAAGGAATGTTGCGCTTGGTACTCCGAGAGTTCTTGTCATCGTGGACGCTTGCAGAGAAAAAGTTGAGTGCAAGAAAGAGAACCTCCGAGCGGAATCTGATTTTCAAGGAATGCCGACCTTCTGGACTCTCGTACAGACGTGCAGTAATGGGCAGGTTGCATTTGATGACTCTGCTTTCTTTCAAGCGTTTCTTGACCCTTGCGAGGGGATGTTCGCTTGTAATCAATCTCTCCAACGTGCTTTGCTTCAGTGCTGCTCTTCCACGAACACGAATAATCCAAAGTGTGTTTTGACGAATGTTCAGAACATACCTGAAGACTTCTGTGTGATTAGCGACGGCAAAGACCTGAGAGTTGTCATGAGCAGTGTGATTGAAACACAAAAAGCAGCAAGGTACGTGACATCAAATGCATCATGGCGCACAGACGCCTCAGGCGCAGACACTTGCGTGCTTGCTTACAGCGCTCAAGATTCAGTTTTGATCAGACAAAGAGCAAGTCAAGCGTTGAAACATTTTGTGTCGAAGAAGGAGCAAGACATTCCACGCTGGAGCTTCTGCTCTATGGTCATCATGTTGTTCTTGCAGTATGACGATACGAGGTTCTCCAGCAAGACCATGTTGGGACATTTGCTGGCAAAAGTGAAGAATGGCAACGTAGGGCCTGAGCTCTGTGAGGACATACAAGAGTACTTGAGACATGGCAGGATCACTTCGCCGTCCTTTGAGGCTTGGAAGGAGCAGTCGGGTCTGAATTTCCAGGATAACAAGTTGTTGATTGCAATCTTGGATTTCACGGTAACAAAGGAGATACGCAAGGTGATGCCCGACCCTCAGGAACAAAGAGATGCTTTGTTGATATGGGAGATCCGAGTAGTCAAATGCTACAAGTCGTCGACATCATGGGAGAAGGGGATGGACTTGATCGAAGAACATCTAAGACATGTAACTGTCATCGATGACGGGGAGGACAACTTGTTCTACTGTCAAGTGCTGGAGAAAGCTGCGGATGCTGGAAGCTTCGCCATGATCTTAAAGATGACTAAACTGAGTAGCGTGTTCTTGAGTTGCTGCTTGCTAGAATACAACATGCAACACAACGTCAGCGAGCTTGATGGCTTGAGTGCATGGGTCAGCAGCACTGGCTGGATCGTTAGGGAGGACGGATATAACACGGACTGGACTGTTTCCAATGCGCTCTGGAGCAATGAGCTTACGAGAACCTTCCAAACGCTGGAGCGATGCGAAGTTGGGATGGGCCCTAGGAGCGACCAGACTTCCTTGCAACAAGGTGACGCTTGTTGCAATGACGCCAGACCAAAGACTCCTGATCGCTATGCAGATCCTCACAACCAAGAGCAGAGGGCGAGGACCAACTCCTCAGCTTTCTATCAGTCTCCAAGTCGACAGGTACCGTACATGCAACATGATTCTGATTGAAACAGATTACCGTCTGATCTGAAATAGCAGAACAACGTAGACCGATTGGATGAAATTACAATAGACGAAATGGCAGCAAGAACGGTAACAATGACCTTGGAACCTAACGCAAATACGCAACAACAATCACAGTCACCTTCACAAACCTCCACTTCTCATTCAAGTGTGTCAAATATGACAGCAAACCAAAGCGGATGGCTCGACAACGCCAAAGGTCATCTGATCAACATGTGCAAGCGGCTCTTACTCTCCGAGCCATCCTTCTCCACCAGCCGGGTCGGAGGGCCCGACCACATGCCGACGTTCTGCTGCACGGTGACGGCAGGGGGCAGAAGCTTCCGAGGCTCGAACCAGACGACGACGAGGGCAGCGGAGAGAGACGCGAGCCGGAGGGCGATAGAGGGGTTGCTGGAGAGAGGCAGCGGGGGGGCGGGCATGGGGGAAACGTGGCAGGCAGCTGCAGCAGGGGCGGGGACGGAGGCGGGGGCGGGGGCGGGGGCAGGCAGGGGCCTTGACAGGCGGGAAGAGACGGCGGCTGAGGACGGAGGGAGGGCGGCGGGCGAGGGATGGCGTGTAGACGAGCTCAGAGACGCCAAAGGTCATCTGATCAGCATATGCAGGCGGCTCTTACTCTCCGAGCCATCCTTCTCCACCAGCCGGGTCGGAGGGCCCGACCACATGCCGACGTTCTGCTGCACGGTGACGGCAGGGGGCAGAAGCTTCCGAGGCTCGACGCAGACGACGACGAGGGCGGCGGAGAGAGACGCGAGCCGGAGGGCGATAGAGGGGTTGCTGGAGAGAGGCAGTGGGGAGGCGGGTGAGGGGGCAGGGAGTGCAGTTGCTGTAGGAAGTCTTCGGGTTCAACGCGTGGGGGTTTAACAGGATTGTCAGCTAGGTGGCCTTTTACAGCCTCGTATGCCGTTACGGAGTTGAGCATTTCCCTTGTCGGGAAGTAATTGACTTTTGATGAGGTTTCTTAATAAGGATGGTTTAAAGATAGTTCGATTTGCAATTCAACTGCTTCTTCATGTTTCTTAACAGGACAATCAAACCTTGACAGCTTGATTGTAAAGCCGTGTGAATCAACATGTTGGTTTGATATTGTGTTCGAAATTTACTGGAATGCGAGTCAGACCCAAAGAATCGAGAACCAGTAACGGTTTCTCAGACCTACTCGCTTGCATCGTAAAGGCGCATCTCACACTGTGAGGGCTTTCTTACATCATGTTTCAAAGGTGCGCAGGTCAGTCGTGACAACGGATGTATGTGCAGTCTCCTTTCAGACAGCTTGATACGATGACTTGGTCATGGTCATGAAGTCCGCCCGGGGGTTTTGCACCAGTACGATCTGCTGGGTGTCGGGGGGTGGTCAGGGGGCAGCGACTCTACGTGCCCCACCCTCTCTCTCGATCTTTCCTCTTCTTCTCTTTTCCCTCCATTCTCTGTTTCCAGCACTCAGAGAGGGTGATGGAAAGGCGGCAACTAGCTGTCTGAGCAACATCCCAAGTAAGCATCAGGAAGGCAGAGGGAGGACTGTGATGGGCATGCCAGGCAGTGAACGATACTCCAAGCAGCAGCGACACCACATTGGCATAGTTATGACTCAAATCAGATTCAAAAGAAAATATTGATAAATCTTTCGAGCCCATCTTGTTTGAGAGTCTTGCTACAGCCGCAGAGCACACATTGTCGGACGTTCGATTCGCCTTGCCGCTGCAGCATGACAACCGTTGAAGACCTGGAGCCATGATCTATGTAGCTTATTGGTGCATAGAACCACGCGAGCCATTCCGTTTGCAGCCTGAGAACCAACCCTTGACATGTTGATAGTACTCAGACATCTCCGGATTTGATTCTCTTTCACTGTGTCCAGTAGCACAGTCACATTGAAATAAACAAGAACGAATGATGTTCAGCTACCTCAACACTGTTTGGATTTCAGATATCTCCACTTCAATCAGAGAATTGTCTTTCTTTTGCCTTATTCTATTGATCAATGCCGCAGGAATTTGCTTTCCACTCTGTATAAGTTTTGCAATTAGGCACAACTCTCCAAACTTGACATCGGATTGGATCCTACACAAAATGCTCATGAACCTAGACAATCTGTCAAAGGCGCAACTTACATGTCTTGGAGAATCCTTGTCTGTCTGACGCTCAACTTGATACTTAAATCCTTGGATGCTTCTCCCTTCATCCGCCCTAGGTCAGTTGAAGCCTGGTCGTCAACATATGCCGTGGCAATGGTCGAGGGCTGGACTACACTCCCTGTTGCAAGTGCTGGGGTCAGTGAGCTCTGACGACCGACAGTCTGACTGAGCGGACGGCCCCATCCCGGGTCCGTCTCCTGCTCGTCAGGGCCAGGGTCTGTGTCTTCTGCAGGGAGGAATTGAGCGATTAGGGAAGGAGCTCCGCGACATGGCAAGCGAGCAGCCTCGTACCGTCATCGCAGGGCTTGGGACCAGCAGTAGCAGGAGGAGCAAGAGGAGGGGCAGGCCGAGTAGAGGAGGGAGGATTTGCTCGGTGCACAGGGTAACTTGCATTGGACTGGGAAGGCTGGACTACACTCCCTGTTGCAAGTGCTGGGGTCAGTGAGCTCTGACGACCGACAGTCTGACTGAGCGGACGGCCCCATCCCGGGTCCGTCTCCTGCTCGTCAGGGCCAGGGTCTGTGTCTTCTGCAGGGAGGAAGTGAGCGATTAGGGAAGGAGCTCCGCGACATGGCAAGCGAGCAGCCTCGTACCGTCATCGCAGGGCTTGGGACCAGCAGTAGCAGGAGGAGCAAGAGGAGGGGCAGGCCGAGTAGAGGAGGGAGGATTTGCTCGGCGCAGTTTTTGCAGACCATTTTCGGTAGATCCGATTGCTTGCGCACCAAGCTCATAGCAGCTCGCATGCACGTGCCATTGGGTATCGCTCTCAAACGCCTCTTGCTTATGGAGTGATTGTCCTTGTATGAGATGCCCTGCATTGCGTTGAAGGCGGAGGGGGAAGAGAATGGGGCTGAGCGCCATGGCGGGAAAAGGCGGGAGCGGAAAAGTTTGTGGGACAAGACAGAAGACACTTTTGGTGACGGTAGGGGTAGTCAATTAGGGGTGCATGAAGTACTTGTTGAGGGGGTACTCGAGTTGTCATTTCAAGTCATGGTGGGGTGGGGTAGGGCAGGCTCTTACTGATCGCTCCCTGCCCTATCCGACATCTTGACATGCAACATGTGTCGAACAGATGAAGTCTGCCATGAGCTGCTTGTGTTTTGACCATCAAATTTATGTCAGGATCATGCTAAATACTACAACACTGGACGAAGCTCTCATGCAGCGGCGGAAGCAGACCCTTGCTGAGGGATCAAGCAAGTGAGGATTGGAAACAAAGGTGGGGCAATCACCTTCTCAATGACGACCGTGAGATCCATCAGTTGCGAAGCAATGTTGCTGAGCGTCTTGATCTGCCATGCTTCCCGTCAGAGGGGTCGGACCCATCAAGGATTCTGGTCACCTGATCCTCCATGGACTGAAGCCTCTCCTCCATCTTCTTCATTTGCCTGAGGGCGAGGACAATCAGCACATGGACCAGGAACAGAGAAATCTCCCCCTCCCTCCCTCCACCACTCAAGCGAGCAAGCAAGACTGACTTCTTCTCGGCGAAACTCGCTGCCTTCCTCGGAACGACTCTGCTGGTCAGCATGGAGTACAAGTGCTTCACGACGCCCCATTCTTGGCTCTCCGACTCGCTCAAGATCTCTCGAACCTGAACGCGACGTCAACCACTCCCTCCCTGTCCCTCCTCCCTCTCACCTGGTCTCCGGACAGCGTCTCATGCTCCAACAGCGCAGCCGCAAGCGCGTCGAGAGCCGCTCGTTTGGACTTGAGCAGCTTCATGGCGCGAGTATACGAGGCTTCCGTGAGCTTCCTGACCTGATGTGGGGAGGTAAGGGGTTGACATCAACCATGAACATCAGCAGACGAGCATAGCACCTCCTCGTCAACGATCGCCCGGGTCTCTTCGCTCATTTCACTCCCTCGGTTCCCTCGCCCTCCTCCACGATGGCCTCGTCCTCCCCCCCCGCCGTAGGCCACCAGGCCTACTCGGCGGCTCATCCCAAACTTCTCCACCTGCGTCCCCACGTTACTCTTAGAGGAGAGGGTTCTGACGCCATCGCACCATGCTGCAGGCGATCGAAGTGGCCCTCTCAAGGTCCGAAGTCGCTCCTGATGTGATGTTGTGTACCCCGAAGATGAGCTCCTCAGCCGCTCTCCCTCCCATACACACGTCCATCTCCGCCATCATCTGCCGTCAAAACAGTCACCGCGCACGCGAGCACGAGAGAGAAACAGACTTGTCTTCTGCTCCAGCTTGTCATATCCTTCTCTGGAAGCTGCATCACCATACCCAAAGCCTGACCGCGTGGAACGATGGTGGCCTTGTGGACGGGGAGGGCACCGTCAGTGTAGCACGCTACCAGCGCATGCCCCCCCTCGTGGAAAGCAGTTAGCTTTCGGTTCTCGTCGGAGTAGATGGAGCTTGATCGCTCCGATCCCATGAGGATGAGATCTTTAGCGTACTCGAAGTCCGCCATCGACACGTGCATCTTGTCGTCCTTAGCCGCCTTGCATGCTGCCTTGTTCACCAGAGAAGCCAGCTCTGCGCCGCTGAAGCCAGGCGTGCCGCGAGCAACGATGTGGAGGTCGACGTCAGGGGCAATCGTGACGTTGCGGGAATGCAGCTTCAAGATATCTTCTCTGCCCTTCACGTCAGGGTTCGGGACCTTGCAAAATGAGCTTGTCAATGCCTTATGTTTCAGCAACAGTGTTAGCTCACCTCGATGTGGCGATCAAAGCGACCCGGACGGAGCAATGCCTTGTCCAAGACTTCGGGAAAGTTGGTGGCAGCAATGACAATCAGTCCTTCCGATGAGGTGAAGCCGTCAAGTTCCGTCAGGATCTGGTTCAGCGTCTGACGCAGAGACTGCTGGTCGGTCATGGACCTGGAGCTGCCGATGGCATCGATCTCGTCGAGGAACACGATGCAAGGCAGCGACTTCTTCGCTGCTTGGAACAAGTCTCTCACTCTCCTCGCACCCACACCCACGTACATCTCTTCAAACTCTGACCCCGAGGCGTACTTGAAGGGCACGCCTGCCTCCCCAGCTATCGCCCGGGCCAGGAGGGTCTTGCCGGTGCCAGGAGGGCCCCAGAGCAGAACTCCCTTTGCCATCTTCCCCCCGAGACGAGTGAACTTGGCTGGGTCCTTCAAGTACGCAACGATGTCTTCAAGCTCCTTCTTGGCCTCGTCCACCCCAACCACATCATTGAAGGTTGTGTTAGAGCGAGCCGAACGGACCTCGAATCGGTCCTCCATGTCCAGGTCAAACGCACCGCTCAGAACCTTCTTCAGTAGGAGGAGAATTTTGATCACGTTCAGCACCAGAGTCACGGCTACCGGCTGGAGTGTCGCAAGAGCGACGCCAAATCGCATTAGACGGCGGAACCAGGAGACAGGGCCCCTTTGTGCCGCTGCTCGTTCACGAGCTCTTTGAATTTCACGGATCTTTTGAAACAAGATCGGATCCAAAGCAACAAAGCCAGGAGGCAACTTTGGTTTGTCCAAACCTGAGTCCGGCCGTAAATCATCATCCTTTCCACCAAGAACTAGTTTCCTCCACCATGGACGATTGTCTTGTGTTGACGACTTATCGTTGGCATGCTTGAGCCCGCACTCGTGATGTTCCCCAGCAGCTTCATTGCATCCTTCCTTGCATTTCTCATGGACAGAGCACTTTTCTCTCTTCCATTTCGCCTCATCCTTGCTGTCGCCAACTTCTCCATTCTCGTTGACGCCCTTGTTAGTCTTCAAGGCCCCGTCCGCACTACAACACTTCAGCCTTGCATGGCATGTTCCATTGCAGGCTTCAGCTGGTTTGTCTTGATTCCAGGGGAGCCAACCGCCACCCCGGATTCTCATGATCGACGGGGCCACATGCGAGGTTCGGCTTCCCTGCCCTCTCCTCCTGATGAACAGCCCGCACATGGTGTTGCAGGAGCCAAGAGAGATGGTGAAGGGCGGGCAGGCATTCCAGCTAGAGGCCAGCTGGTTACGGGAGATCGCACACCTGAAGTGCTTCTTTCTTGAGGAGGACGAGGCATCCAAGGAGAGCGACCTGAACAGGATCGCGACCTTTGAGTTCACGAGATCAAGACTAGTCGCAGCTGACCTGATCTTCTCCATTTCCTGCGTTCCCAGGCTTTTGGCAAACAGAAAGGCTGTTGAGTTGCTGGGGGCCAAGGTCACCAACAGGATAGGAATGGTTGAAAGCTGTACACACCTCGGCACACGCTTATCCTGGGACTGGCATTCTATGGCGCAAGATTGATCTCGCTTCATGGGCTCCTCCCGGTCGTTGGAGACGCTTGATGCAGGACATAGTAACAACAAGAAGATTATACAACAACCAACTGCGCAGACTAGATAGTTAGCCAAGGAAGCAAAGTCCGAGCATGTGAGGAATGCGCAAACTTGTACAAGTCTCACCAGGAAGAAGTTTGGCTGGAGAGGCCATCTTCCAGTGGAAACAATCAACGAACTTCGGAGTGAGTACTTTCTGATCCACAGTAACCTGACAGAGGGTGTGTCAGAGAGTAGAGAATCATGGCCGACCAGTGAGAAAAGGTGCCTGATTAGATTCAACTAGTGTATACGCATGTTACACAGCAGACATCAGGTAATCAGCGGTATCACGATTCAAATCGATTGCTTCATGTCATACTGGATGAAAGCAAAGTTGATCAAAAGGCATGGGCTTGCTGCGTCTGAATTCACGAATTCCAGCATACCTAGCACGAATATGTGCGGTCCTCATTCTCATGCGTATCGCTCAACACTAGGGTTGAAACAAGTCTATCATCGAGTTTGTATCTTGTTGCGCAAGTAAACCTTGTCTGTACCTCACTCTGACTTCTCACTTTTCAAAGTCTAACTCACGTTGCAACCATGATACTGCAACACCACAAGCAGGTGCAGCAAACCCCAACGAACCTCTCCTGCTCCCTTCCTCGCTCTCGCTTCTCTCGCATTTCTGCATCAGCTCAGCGCTGATCTGTGTCTCTATGACGACTGGGACGATCTTCCCTTGCTATCTCCATCTCCCCCTCTCGCCGCTTGCGGCCCCTTCCGTCGCCATGGCCACCCAGCGACCCAAATGAAGACATGCGACAAAGCAGGGATGGGTAACAGTCCTTCTCCTGCGAGGGTAGGGGTACTAACGGAGGGGTGGGGTCATACCCAGGGGTCATTGGTATTTGCGGGACGAATCAACGTAGGGGTACTCTTTGGGATAGCAAAGGGTAGGGTCCATTCAGAATCGAGTCTTTATGAGATGGTGGGTGTAATGGCAGGGGGGTAGGGGTGTCCGTATTAAATAGGGGGTACTCGCAGTCGCAGGGTCATTCATTGGGGAGAACAACAGGGGTGATAAACGGGATACCTAGGGGTACGGGTATGGACGGGTAGGGTACCTCGACGCGGAGGCATCAAAAGTCTTCCTATGGTGTATTCTCTTCATTCATTTGCTGCCCTCAACATCCGGGTGCGGGCCCGGCCGCGCGGCCCGGGCCGGGCCGCGCGCCTCCCGCGCCGCCGGGCGGCCGACCGATCATCATGGGCGCGGCGGAAGTTCACTGACTGGGGCCGGCCCGTGTGACCTGCCGGCGGCCGCCCGTTCACAGCGGGCAGCCCCGTCCCGGGTCCGGGCCGTGCCACTGCCGACTCAGTCACGGACGCGGCCCCGGCCCGGCGGCGGCCGGGCCCGGCCGCCGGCTGGGCCCCGGCCGCCGCGATCGGACCCCGAGGCGAGCCCGGCGCCGGGCGGCCGCGGACTCCCCGACCGTTCCGCGGGCGAGTGATCGGACAGAGTCGGGGGGCCCGGCACTGCGGCGCGGCCTGTGCTCCAACCGTTGAACGATGCGGCCCCGGCCCGGCGGGCCGCCGGACGGCAAGTGACTGACGGCAGTCAGCCGTTGGCCGCAGCCGGGGGCGGGGCCGGCGGCTCCGGAGTCCGCTGCCAAGTCAGTGCCGCGGCAGGCGCACCGTACGGCCCGGTACACTGTGAGACTCTACGGTATCATGACTGACGGTATACTGGACCGTTCGACCGTTCCGATCGTCATCAGCTCAGCGGCTGGACCGTCGGGTCGGGCCCGGCGCCGCGGCTGCCCGGCGGGGTATATAAATGAAAGCTAGTGGGCGTGGTGCAAGTTTGGATTTTTGAATTTCTCAGTATGGCGGGAGAGCCATGCTTGCTGCGGGTGAGAAGAGAGAGGCCGGGGGAGGAGAAGAGGGAGAGGAAAGAAGAGGGGAAGGAACGAAATCAACATGGCCATCCTCCCCTCCTCAAGATTGCCTGTACAAGACAAGGGGGAGCAGAGTTGCAGGCGAGGAAAGGTCAGCTCATTGTCTTGCGATGCACAAGTTACGATGACCATTCCGCGCAGAAGGAAGAGTCTCAGCAAGGAGGCAGTCGTCTTCTCCGAAATACAGTGATATCCATGCTGAGATAGCCTCAGGGTATGAGAGCAAATCAGAAAACATCGGTAAGTTTTGCTGGGTTTGTTCTTGTGCGCTGACTATACGTTGCCGCGACCAGACGAGTCAATAGTCGGACCTGCTGCTGCTCCAATTCCTGATGTCTCGTTGAATCTCCCGATCACACCTAAGGGCACGAAGGCTCCGATAGCGTCTGACAGGCCCGATGGCACACAAGTCAAGGACGTCACGCCCCTTGCTCCTGACTTCCGGAAACCAATTTTCTGCCTGTCGGTCGCCGTCCTCAATGCCTGCAACATGCAGCGAGCGAGAGGTGTTGGGCTGCGAGCATGCTCGTGCGAGGTTCAGGTTGGGAAGGTGAACCGGAGCACTAGGACCGTCTTCACGTCCTCGGGTGACGTGCGACTCGACGACGGGAGAAGGATGTTCTTCAAGGTGTTTGACAGGGCACAGCGAATAACTCTTCGACTGATGGAGGGGAGAGGGTTTGAGCGAGTAGAAGTAGGAAGGTGATGATTTCTAATCCTGCCTCGCTCTTGCGCCTTGACCCATTCCTTGTCGCAGGTTCCAAACCTTGGCTCAGGCTATCCATGAAAAGTTGGAAAGTTCCAAAGGACACACGATGACAGCGAGTTTGATATCAGGGACGGGGAGGTTGCTGTATGGGCGGAACGGATCAAGTCCTGTCGGTCTAAAGATCCAATTCCAGCTCGAAGAGGCGGTGGAAGCTTGTGATTTTGAAGATCGCCACCAAACAAATTTGGATGATTCCAACGTACCCTCGATGTGTTGCCATCATGTTCTCTATCCCCTAACGTGCAACGCCAGGAATCTCAAGGGTTTAGAGAAGCCCTTGCGCTCTGTTGTGCTCAGCTGCTGCAAGCTTGTGTCCGAAGGCACGCGGTTCAAGTGCAGCGTGACAGGGACGAACAATGTCGGAGGGTGAAACTCGAGCTTGATCAGTCCGCACTTGGAGAGGGCGAGCCAACGTTGTCTGCCGGCGGGACGATTGGGGAAGAAGCTCAAGACGATGATGAGCCGGCACTGAAGGACGGGGGACTTGACAGCATGGCACCACATGCTGAGGATACGATCGATGTGGAGGGGGCAGGGAAGGCAGTGGAAGGAGTGGAGGAGGCGACAGTCGAGCGCTTCGACGCGCTGGAAGTTGCCGGAAACGTCAAGGCGAAGGAGGGAGGCAGATATCTGCCCGTGCTGGTTGTCGCCAGCAACGAATTGATGGAAGACATCCGCCAGGCTGCATCTGAACTAGGGGAGGAAGGAGTAGTGTTCCTTGACGGTGGAGTGGAGGCGCTGAAACGATGCCTGAGACAATCTGCAAGAGCAGGGGAGCCGAGGAGAAGGTCAAACGATCCCGCTGATGCCATGGGAGCGTTGCCGGCAAGTGAAGATGCGATCAGGTCAGGGGAAGCGAAGGCACAGCAGGAAAGGGAGCAGAGGGAACAGCTGGTGGAACGAGAGCAGCAGCAGCAGGAGCGGGAGGAGGTTCTTGCCATTGAATGGCATTCAGCAGGCAAGAAAGAGGAGAAGGAACTTCTTTCGTCAGATGCAGGGGAATCGTCAAGGCATCATGACGACTCGGCAGAGAAGCGTAAGAAGGCGGAGGCAGCGGCTGGACTTGTTGTCATATCGCAAACAGAAAGTTCGATCCCTCGATTGGACCACCAGGAAGTGGAGAAGGTGGAGGAGGTGGGGGATAGTCAGGCGTGGACGGAGGAGATGCTAAGAAGTCTACAAGACGTGCGGGCCGTTTGGGTTCAGACCGCCCGCGTTCCTCGTCTCCTGGAGCTGGCGGACAAACGACCAAGACACGGAGGAAGGGCCCCGAGCGCCCCGACGATCGTCATCGATGACGAGCATCTCCTCGACGACCGTCTCTCCAGCATCGTGCAGGAGGCGCAGGAGGCAGCTCTGGCTAGTCTTCCTCCCTCTGTGCGCTTCCTGCGCTCCTCCACCCCTGGCGAGCTGTCGCTGCCTCCTGCTCATGGGAGGGGAGCGACGCGTGTGCCAGACGCTCCGAGAGCTCGGGGCTCGCATGCCAGAGGCAGAGGAGGGGCACAAGAAAAGCTCAAGAGTCTCCTCCAACGGATGAACGCCCGGATGGCCTCCCTGCTGTACGATGCAGACAAGCTGGACAGGTTACCCCTCCTTCCCCCCTCCCGCTGATGAACCGTTACCCCTCCTTCCCCCCTCCCGCTGCTGACCCGTTACCTTTCCTTCCCCCCTGCTGCTGCTGACCTCTCTTGCGCCCAGGGAAATTTTCTCCGACATGCAGGAGGCCGACGAGAAGCTGGAGAGGGTGATGAAGGTGCTGCCAGGTTCCTCTCGCCTTCCTCCTCTGACGAGACGCAGGAGGAGGCAACTGAAAGGATGCAGCTTGCCTGTGACCGGATCCTCCGCATGGAGACCGAGTGCGATGTTGGTTTGCGAGAGTGCGCAGAGAGACTGGAAAAGGCGGAGAGGGCGCTAGCGGACGAGCTGCACGACGTGAGAGGTGGTGGGCAACTCGAGGCGGAGAAGGAGGAGGAGGGACGTGCCAGGGAAAGGATGAGGCAGAGGAGGGCAGCGAAGTCTCGCACTTCAAAGAAGTGGAGCTCAATGATGGGTTGTTACATAACAAGTCGGTAGCTGATCATTGCATATTGTAATTTGTTTCCCCTCCTCGACAAGCTCGAACCTCTTCGTGCAGTTGAGAAGACAATGTATCAAAATTTTCCGCAGGCGTCAGGTTATCATCACCATAAGCATCATCATCAACATTACTGGATCAGACAATCTCCTTCATGTTGCTCCTATCTCAGTACGGATGAAAGTGCCCGCGGCCGTAGCCTCGGTATCCTCCTCTGTACGAACGACCGCGAGCAGGCGAGAATCCTCTTCCTCTTCCTCGCCCTCCTCTTCCTCTCGAGGGCTGTACCTGAAGAAACTGCATGAGGCTCTGCGGCAAGTTTCGACGACTGCTGGCTCACCTGCCATGACGGGAGGTTGGTCCTCTTGTTCACAACCTTGATCGCACGATCTCGCAGCAGCGCATTGTTCTTCTCCATGGCCATCAGCACCGACGCCTGGTATCAGAATCAGCACCAAGAAGCTCCTCGGCCGTAGTAGGCACACCTTGTCAGCGAACTCGAGGTACGCGAAGCCCTTGGCTCTGCCCGTGAACTTGTCGACAGGGATGGTGATTGCGTTGATCTCTCCACAGTCGGCAAAGAGAGCTTGGACCTTCAACGGCAGATGTAAGGACAAAGAGGAAAACACATGCCACGAGGTTAGTAACAAGAGGAGCAGCAGTAGGGAGAGAATCCTGCGCAGCGCATCTCCTCACCTCCTCCACTGACGCGGCAAAGTCAACGTTCCCGATGAAGATGCTTCGACTGTCTCTCTCTGCCTGGTCTGCTGCCGCTGCTGCGGAAAGCTCGGAATCTGTGTACCACAATGCCTGTAATCAGCGGACCGCATGATGTTACAGCTGCCAACTACCTTCACCACCCGACTTGCCGTCAGCAGACCCTGCGGATCCAGAGCCTTGCTGCTTGTTCAGCTTGTCCAGCTCGGCCTTCTGCTGCTCCGCCTTGGCGAGCTCCTTCTGCATCTGGGCGAGCTCGGGGTCCTCTCCCTCCCCTTCATACTCCTCCTGCCCCTCCTGCCCCTCCTGTCCCTCTCCCTCCTCGACCTGCATCAGTTCTTCGCTACCAGACATTCCGAGCGCTGAAGACTTTGTGGACTTTGAAAGAGCTGTGGGGATTACTTCTGAATCAATGGCCTTGCACCCTCCTCTGCGGTCCCGCTCGCTGAGATTCCTTGGCAGGTGTTGCTAGTGCAAACTTCTGCCACCTGATCCCTTCCTCCCTGTCTGACTGTCTGTTGTCAGTCTTCTCCTTCTCTCGCCCTTCCTCTGTTTCGCTCAGCGAGCCTGCTGGTAGATGTCGCTGCTGTGGAAGGGACGAGGAAGAGGAGAGGGGAAGCGGGACCCTCAATTTAGACCGGTGTAAAAGGGGTACTCGGAAGCACGGGGTAGTACAAGACACAGGTGTTGTGGAAGCAGGTACCAGAGGGAAGGTGGGTGGTAGGAGGATACAATATAATAAAATTAAAGTTGTAGAAGTGTACCATGTTTGAAACTCTTATATTATTTTTTCTGTATAAAGTGATAGAATTTTTGTTGATTGTTGTTTTTTTAGTACAAAATTTATATTCTGCCCGGATCTTTTCCTAGGTCAAGTTATATAGTGATCGCTCTGCTTCAGTACAATTTATGAACATAGCTATAATATTATAAATTTCATAAAAATATTTTAAGTTCAAGAACTCGTGCCGGATCTACTACCCCCACCCCGTAATTCAGACGCTTGTGTACCCCAGTAGTCTCGCATTGTCATGGGGTATTCTTTACCGGAAAGGGGTGGGGTAGGTATCGTAGGGAAAGGTGGCAAGCAGGGTGGGGTGGAGTAACAGGGAAGGATGGGGGACCAGAGACAGTTGTGCGTGTAGCAAGTTCAAAATTTGAAGCGAAGGGATGGAGCGAATAGAGGAAGAGGACCGCTGATGATGCTTGCGACGATGATCACAATGATGATGTTCAATGTGGATGACGATGATGATGATGTCATGGATGATATCAATGACGATGATGACGACGACGATGATGATGATATCAATTATGAAGGCAATTGGGGTTCAGTGAGTTGCAAATCCTGTTTGTGGAAGAGACCAGAAGAGTATGTGTCATCGCAAGGATCTATCCTCATGAGCCAGATCTCTGTTGTTCTCTCAGACTCCTTGGTATTCTATCATGGAATCAGCTCTAGCTGTTGTTGTCTTTTGATGGTTATGGGCATTGATGCTTTGATGTTTAATTGACTGTTGGCGATAGCAGATGGAGCGAAGACGAAAGCTGCTGGAGGCGGCGTCGAGCCGCCAAGCCTTCTCAGAACTGATGCACGAGCATGTGATGATGTGTTACTGGTCGAGCTGCTCTCGATGACGCTATAGCAGGCCAGCGGAAAGCTCAACGTTGGCGAGATATTGCAAGGAATGTCCGGGACAGAGAAGAGCACAGTATGGCAGAAGTTAGCTAAGACGTTGCCGGATGATATTGAGACTTCAGATGAGGTGAGAGAAATGGCAGTTGGGCATGGAGGGATGGAGGAGGAGGTTGAGCTGATAAGAGAGTCACGAAGTCAGCGATGGAGGGGAGGAAAGGGGGAGAAGTGGCTGGCAGGCAGGTAGCAGAGCTGACATGTTGCAAATGCAGACAACTCAGAGGTTTGTTGAGAGCCTGTCCACCTTGGGCCTCCTGGTGCTCGGGGGCAAGGAGACGGAGGCGCCAGACAGCATGCAGAACATAGTGAACGTGCTGCACGACAACCTGTTGAGGTTCGTGTTCATGAGCTCGACGCAAGACGCTATATCCAAGTTTTGCGAGGCATGGTACCTCAAGGAGCCATCGAGCAGGTCCGAGGTCGTGCCGCAGACCATCTTGTACCTGCTCATGAGAGCAGTGAGCGAGGATGGGAAGGTCTCAGACGTGAAGCGAGTGTACAACATGAGGGCGGCGCTGGAGTGCCTTGAGATAGGAGGGGAGAGCTTCAGGTCGGTGCAGGAGTCACTGATGCGAGCGGCCATTCATCCCAACTTCGTGCTGAGTGAGGACGGGAGGAGGTTTCTGACCTTCCTCCTCACCCTCCACCCCCTCGTCACCACCATCATCCACAAGACTATCAAGAGTCAGATCCCTCGCTGCAGGTCCTGCTGCAGGATGGGAGGGGAAGGGGGTTCCGCATCCTGACTTCCCGCAGGAGCTCCATGCTGGTGCAGTACGGGGAACTTTATCATGCCGCCTGGAAGCGAGCCAGTGGGCCTGTCCTGCATGCTCTCGAGCACGATTGCGTGCAGGACTTGGCGAAGCACTGCATTCATGCGAGCAGCCCGAGCTTGTCCAACGCCATCCGCCAGGTGATGATGATGATGAGGATGAGGATGAGGATAATCAGTAAGACTGAATGGTAGTGGTGTTTTTGGAGACGTGTCTTGATTTTGTATCTCCTTGACGTGTTTGCATGTTGACTTTGTTTCTTGCTGACGACGATGGCCAGGTCCTTTCAGTGTTCCACAAGAACAAGAAGTACAAGGCTGTTGATGAGATGCTCTCAAGGATCTATGAACCCATCCTCTGGCGCTCCCTCAAGGTTCTGAATCCTCCCCTCTCCTCTCCCCCGCCCTGAAATCCTCCTTCCCTCTCCCTCTCCTCCCCCTTTTCCCTCCCTCCCTCTCCCTCTCCCTCTCCCTCTCCCTCTCCCTCTCCCTCGTTCTCTTTCTTCCCAATCCTTTCTCTCTTCTCCCTCACCCTCGACTTCGCAGGTTGCCAACCCGATCGTCCGCAAGCAGGCTGCGCAGCTCTTTGCCGAAGTCTTCCCGGTGCAGAACCCAGACGCTCCCAACGCAGAGTTCGAGATGGCGCTCAATCAGCAGATCAACGTCCTTGACACCCTCATCCGCGATGAAGTGCCCCAAGTCCGCGAGGTCTTCCTTCCTTCTCTCCCTCCCTCCCTCTCCTTCCACCTTTTCTCTTCCTATTGACATCGTTCGTTCCGTTCTCCTCCTCTCCCTCCACACCCCCTCTCCCCCTCCTCCCCCTCCCCTTTCACCTCCTCCTCCCCTTCCGTCCTCTCTGCTTGTAAACCTCTTTCCTTCGTTCCCCTCTCACCTTCTACTCCTCCTGTCTGCCTCCTCTTCAGTCCTCTCTGACCTTGGACTGGCAGGTTGGAATTCAGTGTGTCTGCAGGATCATCAGCATATACTTTGATCTTCTCCCCGTCCACGTTACTACAACCCTTGTACAAGTGCTGATCAAACAGGTGCTCCTCCTCCTCCACCTCCTCCTTCTCCTTCTCCTGCTTCTGCTCCTCCTGCTCCTGCTCCTCCTGCTTCTCACGTCTCTCTCCCATTCCCGAGTTCTCATCCCCTGTACCTTACTCGTCTTGCTCAGTTCTCGCAAGACGCTGCCTCCCCAGCCGTTCGCGTTGCCGTCCTCCGCGGGATGGCCTTCATCCTAAACAACCACATGTCACATCCCCTCCTGCAGGACAGACTCAAGCTCCTTGGTGACCTGATCCACGACAAGTCCGAGAGAGTCCGAGTCGCCATGTGCGAGCTCCTTCTTAAGGTATGCTCCATGGCTGCTGCTGCTCTCCTCCCCCGCATCTTCATCATGCACTTTCCTCTCCTCCTCCTCCTGCTCTTTCCTGCTTCTCCTCTTTGAATCACTCCTCGTTCTCCACCTTGTACTCTACCCGTTCTGCCTTCCATCCTCCTGTTCTCACTCCTTCTCCCTCTCCTTGCTCCCGCTGGTTCTTTGCTCCAGCATGAAACCTGTCGCCAGGTCAGAGGCATCAAGTCCATTCGTTTCTTCGACATCGTCCCCATGGTCGAGATCCTCGATCGCCTTGCAGTAGATGCTCAACGTCCTGCGGTATCTTCCCCTCCCTCC